GTCATGGTAATTAATACATATAACAACTAATATAAATCATTATTACAATCAGCATTTGAGTTATGTACAAAAAATGTGAATCAAGAATAATACAGTAACACAAGATGATATTCAATTACATAACCGTCTAAATTACTCATTCATAATACTGTACACTGTAATACTATTGATGTTTATGAACATACTTAGTACTAAACTAAGTTTTCTAGCTGTAAAATACAGATCTTAGATATTGGTCTTTTATGACTGGAAATTGTTTTAATTTCTGCTGCTCTAATTCTATTATTCTTGCCTGGATATATTCTTCCTATTTAGCCAAGTGGCTATTTAAGTGGTGGCAAATTATCTTCTTTAATAATAACAGCATGACCTTTACAAAAACATCCATTTTAAATTTTCTTGTAACTTGTTTAAATAATCGTTACTAATTTTTTCTATATATTCTGAAAAATTCGCATGATATTTTGTCAACTCTTCAGCCGATTTTCGTTTATATTGGTAAGATCAGGTTCAATTAATGCCTGTTAAAAATGAGACAGTGTCAAAACTTCTGTTTCATCAATATCCGAAGTTATTGGTAAAAGAGGAAGGAGTTTTAACATTCCTTCTGTTTGAATAATTATGCAGTTAAATTCCTTGTACGTTAATTTCAAGCTACCAACAACTGTTGTCAGGTAACATTTAAGAGACTTGACACCTACTTCCCAAATACCCCCTCTAAATTAGGAGTTGAGTGTACTTACTAAACTATATAATTTTTTACTTTCACCACTAGCTCCAACAAAAGTTTTGATATTATCAGTAAATAACTTAGCAAGTTTACCTCGTCTCAAGACGTCTTTAACGTTTCAATGAAGGAAGACTTCGTTAAATCAGTAACACTCTCTAGTTGAGTGGCTTTAATTGCAAAACAGAAATATACACACATAAAAATTTTATGAAAGCCACCCTTTCACTAATTCCTATATTTGATAGAAAAAGAACCGCTAAGTTCATTCTATTTATATTAAAGAGAAAGTTTTTAGTAGTTCGTTCTTGTGGTAAGTCATCCATAATTTGATTTAATATTAGGGTTTCACTTTGAAACATAGTACACAATTATGTACTATTTTCCTACAAAGGTTCCTACCATTTACAATCCAAAAATTTTGTCTTGGGATTGAAGACCTGCATGCAGATATTTTAAGATGAAAATAATTAACTCTAATAACTAATTAAGATGAAATAACTAATTATTATGATTAACTTAATAACTAATTAAGATGAAATAACTAATTATTATGATTAACTTAATAACTAATTAATTAAGATGAAAATAATAAATACTGTTTATGTTTAGAAGGCAGATTAACAGATTTTTTTTTCCCGTAAGCAAACTGCTATTTCTTAACCTACCTCCTACTCTAAGTAATCCATCTTACTAATTAAAGGGTTCTTAATTAGGTAACAATTCATAATAGAGCTATCCTTTGGAACCATGTCTGACTTCTTAAGACCATTTATTTCCCTTATAAAATACTCACCCTGCACCAACCTTGCTAATTTTTCTACAGCTACTTTTAGTTCTTCCACTTGTAAATGACCTACCTTCTTTGGTACTTGATTACAATTATAAAACCTAAAACAAAAACTTGCAATGCGGATTAATATTAAATGCTTCTTGCTACAGTTCAATAAATCATTAACAAAGTTACTCACATTTAGACTCAAACACCTTACGAGTTCAACACAATTTTCAAGTTCATAATTATTGTCTTCAATTACGACTTCAGATATAACCCGTTAGGGTACTCATCCCTCATTAGAAGTCAGGTCTGTTCCACCACAGTTAATTTAGTTCTAATTTTTCAGCATCCATACTATCGAGGAATGAATATGTTAGGTGCATTTAGTAGGGATTTAATAAATACATGCCACTCTCGATTTTCTTTCTCCGTTAGTGACTCATTACAGTTTAATTTCAACAGTCACAACATATGCATGAACATTTTTGTCTTTGTCGCAAGAGAATCCAAAATTCCAGGTGGATCACATGTTCTTGTTGTTTGTGACAAAAATCTTTTCGTGTACAGATCCTTTAAATCTGGTTTTAAACAGAAGCGAAAGCAATCATTTTGATGTTTCGACAAAATGCTTGGCGTATTAGTATCAGAAGTAGCAAAGGAATAATTTCCAGATGCATTCCCTCTATCTTTCAATAGGGGTGTATAATTCTCAGATCGTTCCACCTCATTCCGAAAGCCAAATTAGTTGTGGTTGAAGTTCTTGTGCTTCGGCTAACTGATCAGCTCCAGTTAGTGTATCATCCATATGTATGTGTCTGATAAAAGTACAGAGCTGCCATCGGAATGCGCGCTCCTACATCGTATGCCAACTGCTGCTGCATTCTCTCAAATATGGTGCACTAGTTGTGCCGTAGGTTACAGTCACTAATTCAAGAACTTTTACTGGTATATCAGTTTCTTTTTTAAAAGTATTCTTTGAAGATTTCTGTGATCTGGAGTTATATAAATCATGAGAAACACACACACACATATATATATCGTCCGTAAATGCAAAGAGATGTTTTGTAAATCTAACCATTAAAACAAAAATATCATCCTGAATCCCACCGGCGTTATATTGTCGTTAGTTTAACGAATTTCCGTTAGTTGTCGGACATGAAGCATCTAAACTTAATAAAACTTTTCTCAGGTCTTTACACACCTTAAGTCAGTGCCGCCCTAACCACAGGGCTAAATGGGCTATAGCCCCAGGGCGCAAGCCTTTTGAGGCGGCAATTTTTTATTTGCGATATAGTAAAAATTTATTTTTCATTTTATTAGTTTTTACTTATTTTTAAATTAAAACACTTCTTAAAATATTAAACTGATTTTTATTTCTTCCAAATGTGCTGAAAAACGATAGATAGAGAAGGGCAACGCGAAATAGGAGTAACACCCTACCGATCGTACTTTTGTTTCAGTCGCATTTGAACTGTCGGAGCTGTACTGGAGTTAATATAAGACCACCTACGTATACTCACCGCGTCGCCAGGGCATATTCATTTATCTAAACGTAAATTGTATTATTTTAACAATCCTGATAAAAGATAGGAACATAAAGGGGTCACTGATGCGTACCTTAATATAGATTGCACGACAAAAGTAAAATTGATATAATTTTAGTATTTGTCGACTGAATAAGGTGAATTAAAAATTGAAAATTAAGTGGAAATTATTAAATTATATTATTATCTTCCTAAGGTAAGTGCTTTTCCTTTTACATACACTAGTGGACAAAAAAAAAAAAAAAAAAAAAAAACGCATAATAAAAAAAATGGCATTTAGCAAGATAATATTTATTAATTTTAAAAGGTTAAAAAATAAATTGGTTTTTTTTTTCTCATTTTATATTTAAAAATATATTTACTTTAAGGTATAAAGAAATTAGGTAGTATATTGAACGGTTTATAAAAATCAAAGTGGACAAAAAATGCATATTGAAAAAATTGCCTTTTCCCGCCAAAAAACATAAAAAATTCTATGATTCAGTGCATCCATATCAAAGCAATTATCAATTGAAGACAAGGCTCAAATTGTAGTTTTCCACGAGTCTGGAATGAGCCAAATGGAGTTTGGAATGAGCCAAAAATACTCCGTAAATCAATCAACAATTTCCAGAATTGTTAAAAAATATATTATAAGAGGGTCTTCATCTCGAAAACCGGGATCTGGCCGAAAGTTGTCACTCTGATCAGGTGGTTTAACTTTTTTGAAGCAAAATATCTCAAAAGATCCTAAATTAGGATCAAATAAATTGAAAAATATATTAAATGACAGGAAAAGAAAATGTGTTTCATCTAGAACAATTCGTCGTGGATTGTGTTCTATAGGTTTGCCTGGCAGAGAGTTGCCTGTTCTAAACCATATTTAAGTCCTGAAAATGTTTTAAGCAGATATGAGCATGCTAAGAAATGGGTTTATTACACTCAAGAGCATTGGAATAGCATAATCTGGTCAGATGAGACCAAGATAAACTTGTTTGGATCAGATGGACGAAGATATGTGCGTCGTAAGGTAGGGGAAAGATATAATTTGAAAAATTTAAAGCCTACTGTTAAACATGGCGGAGGGCATATTATGGTTTGGGGTTGTTTTAGCTCTAATGGCACTGGAATGTTAACGATCATTGAGGGAAATATGGATTCCCTTAAATATACTAGGATAATCGACTCTTGTCTTGCATTGTCAGCTTCAAAAATGGGTCTTAATGGATATGAATTCCAACAAGATAACGATCCAAAGCATCGTTCAGTGCATTCAAGAGAATATTTCAGAGATAAGAAGATTATTGTGCTAAGCTGGCCATCCCAATCACCAGATATGAATCCAATAGAACATCTCTGGACTCACCTGAAAACAAGAATAAGGGAAAGACAGCCAAAAAAACATTGATGAGTTAAAAAGGATAACGCATGAAGAATGGGACAGGATTGATCCGGATTTCTGCAAAAAGTTGGTCGAAAGTATGCCAGATCGAGCTGAAGCACTTTATAAAGCAAAGGGTGGGCATACAAGGTATTAATTAAACAATATGCATTTTTTTTTGTCCACTTTGATTTTTATAAACCGTTCAATATACTACCTAATTTCTTTATACCTTAAAGTAAATATATTTTTAAATATAAAATGAGAAAAAAAACCAATTTATTTTTTAACTTTTAAAATTAATAAATATTATCTTGCTAAATGCCATTTTTTTTTGATTATGCGTTTTTTTTTTGTCCCACTAGTGTATATGTTAGCTAAAAATTAATTAATAATGATATATACATATTTAACAATTTTATAACAATTTTTTGTTCCATTATGTAGAAGACTAACCATGGAACATAAACTAAAAAATTTATCTGGTTCCGCCAACCGTAAATTAAAAGAAGAGAAAGAGGCGAGGCAAAAAGCTCTCTTGGAAAAAATGCCTACATTAACAAATTTCTTTAAAAAGGCGAAACACTTTCTATGGATATTACAGAGGATGAGCAACACAAAGAGGGAAAAGAAAAAAATCAACAACAGTATGACAATAATGGCCAGCAATCAAATGTGAAAGAAAAAGAAGAGGACCAGAAACAACAAAACATGGAACAGCCACAGCCAGAAGATCAAGAAAGAGAATATTTAGGTGAAGATGAACTTAGTAATATGTTGAGTGTTAATTACACTGATCCAGCATTATGGGGAAGATTAAGCGAAGATAAAATTATAGATATAATGAAGAACATATCTAACGTAGAGGTAGATATTCAAGAATTAGACTTTTCTGCATCTAAAGTGGTCTACAAATCACAGAGCAAATATGCTACAAAAATGATATTTTATAGACGTTTACAAAACGGAAAACAACAAAAAAGAAACTGGCTTTTATACTCAAATACTTCAGGAAAAGTATATTGCATCCCTTGCAAACTGTTTGGTAGTGCCAATAATCCATTTAGTGCAGGTTTTAACAATTGGAAACACAGTGAAAAAAATTTCGGACCGAATTTCGAATTTCGAAATGAAAATTCAGCCCTTCATAAAGAAAACACCCGTATAATTGTGAACAGATCTACAGAAAAATGGGAATATTTCAAAAATTATTCTGTTATATCAATGGAAAAAAATACGAATTACTGGAAAAATATTTTAGAACGTATCATCGAAGTCATAAAATTTTTAAGTTCAAGGGGTTTGGCTTTTAGGAGAGAAAATCAAACTATTGGTGATAAACATAATGGGAATTATTTAGGGTGCTTAGAACTTTTAGCAAAATTTGACCCTATTTTGCAACAACATATATTTAATTTTGCAAATAAAGGTACTGGGAATATTTCTTATTTATCTGCAAATATTTGTGATGAATTTCTAAAAATATTGGTCAGAAATGTTAGATGTTTTATTATCACGGAACTAAAAGAGGCAAAATATTACTCTATTATAGTAGATTCGACGCCCGATATTTCCCATATGGATCAATTAACCATTGTCGTAAGATATGTCAATAAAAATGGAACACCCGTTGAAAGGTTTTTAAAATTTTTGGAGAATACTGGCCATAAGAGCTCAGAAATGCAAGACTGTATTTTAAAGCTATTATCTGATTTAGATATTAGTTTAGAAGATTGTAGAGGACAATCTTATGATAATGCCTCTAATATGTCGGGTATATATAACGGCCTCCAAGCACGCATTAAATCTAGAAATAATCTTGCCATTTACGTGCCCTGTGCGGCACATTCTTTAAATTTAATTGGACAATCGGCAGCTGAATGCTGCATACAAGCAACTAAATTGTGTTTGTTTCTACAAAACTTATACAATTTCTTTGCCGCATCAACATCAAGATGGGAAATTTTAAAAAATACGCTAACAGCAAAAAATAAAGTTCCCAAAAAATTAAGCGACACTCGTTGGTCAGCAAGAGCTGATTCAGTGAAAGTAGTGGTTTCGGGCTATGAAAATTTTAAAAATGCTTTAACTAAACTTTACGAAGATAATTTTCAAAAGCCTGCAACAAAAGTTGAAGCCCAGGGTTGTTAAATGAGTTCAACTCATTGGAAACTGCTATTATGATAGCATTTTGGAGTGAAATATTGGAAACCATCGATAAAACTAATATATCGCTTCAAAAAGTTGATATTACAATTGAATGCATTGTTTCATTATATGCTTCTTTAGAAAAATTTGTACAATCGAAACGAAATATAGATTCGTTTAACCTTTACAAATCAGAAGGTATAAAATTATCTGGCTTTTATGAATACAAACGGTTACGGAAAAGAAAAAGACAGTTCGACGAAAATACGTCGGAAGAAGTGCAACTTGATGCAAATGACGAATTCCGCATAAAAACATATTATGCTATTATTGATAAAATTTTAGCAGATGTACAAAAGAGAAAATGTGCATATGTTGACATTTATTCAACATTTGGGTTTCTAGTTAATTTAAAAAATATAAATGAAAACATAATTAGAAATAATGCTGCAAAGTTGTGCGAAATATATGAGAATGATTTAGAAAACAACTTTATTGAAGAATGCCTACATTTTAAACATGTGAATTTATTGGAAAAATACCGAAAATATATATATCGCAGAACTAAGTTTAAAGACAATAATCGAGTTAAGTAAAAATTGAATCTACATTTCCAAACGTAATAACCACAGCACTGCGCATATTTTTAAGTATCGCCACAACAAACTGCAGTGGCGAAAGATCATTTTCAGCAATCAAAAGAATAAAAAATTACGATCTTCTTTGGGACAGAGTAAACTCAATGAGTATTCTCAATAGTATTTTGTCTATTGAAAGAGATTTATTTGAAAATTTAAGTACTACTGATATTATTGATCAGTTTGCCAAAGAAAAAGCTAGGAAAGTAAATATATAAGTTACATTTGTTTAGATTAAGGTGTGTTTTTGTTCTTAAATGGTTTTTTATTTAATTAAATTTTATTTTTGTTTATGTTATGCACTGATGGAGAATCATATAATAGTTCCGATCAAGTTCTAAGGATTAGACTAAAAACTGATCGGAACTGTCATTATTGAGATAATCCCCTCAAATCTGGGTAAACATTTATACCCATCCTTTAAATAAGTGACTTTAAAGAAAAGTTACAATAAAGATAACAGTTTATTATAAAAGTAATAAATAGTTTTTTTTTTCTAGTTCTGACACTTTTGCTTAGTATAACTTTTCCGACTCCCATTTGCCATTCTGTGTATTTTCTTAGGAAGAAGGGCGCATTATTTTTAGTAGCCCATGGGCGCCGAATTCCTTAAGACGGCCCTGCCTTAAGTGTGGTATAAAATACTATGACCCAGTCCCATCTTCTTTTTATGATACTTCATACGTATGCCCCATTTGCTCGTACTCTTCTAAAATCTCTGTATAATTTTTAGTAATCAGGATCTAAACTCAGGATCAGGAATCAGGATCTTGCTTTGAAATATTAAATGCCTCATTCTCCATGAGATATTTAATATTTCAAAGCAATGTTTCTCGATTCTCCTAAACACAATGGATAGTCTCTTAAACACATAGGTACAACATACCTACCGATTTCATTTCTTTTATGAGTTTTCTGAAAATGCTGTTTACATATTATGGTTTCTTTTTATTTGGGGTTTTTTCAGTTTTAGTATTCTCGTTTTCCCAAAATTTTATAAGAATTTTATCTAGGTTGTTTTCTTCCCTTATCAACCCATAATGAATCTTGTTCTCGGTCTCTGCTGAAACACTTCCCGACACTAGAAAATCCAAAACTGTGTCTTGAATAATATCGGGGTTACCGATACGAATCAGCCCCGCTTTCAAAACATCATAGAAAATTCCCACTTCCAACAGCATATCTACACGTTCTGGAACATTTGTTTTGTTCTCTCTAGTTTAATAAGCTTTTGCTCTTCCTGCCTTCTGTTCCCATCCGCTAATTTTACATTATCTGCTAATTTTTCATCAGGAAAGTCTTGCGCTGAAATATGAACTTTGCGTTAAGTGTTACATCTGCAGTTATTTTTGGAATAACTGAAAAATCAAAATTATTTACAACACTCCGCTCTTTATTGTGTATTGATGCACTAATTTCATGCTTTATTTTCACGCTAGGATCATTTACTCCTGAAACCAAAATGTTTGTTTTAATTTGTTTAGCTCTATAAAATTACTCATCAAAATATCTTTTATACTTCCCATGTCCATTAAAACACATAACTTTATCCTTTTGGTCTTCCTTTGTCTATCAGAAAATATGTGACGGTAGACGGTAAAACGCTACTCATTTTATTCGAGTAATAAATACTTTCTGAACGAACTCCTCCGCACTGATGTTCAAGATCGATGCGTCATCTCGCTTGGAATTCTTGCAATCAGATATGCCTTCTTCCTTTTTTTTTTTTTTTTTTTTTTTTTAATGAAAAAGGAAAAAGACTCTTTCATCTGTGCGTTATTTGCTTTCGTATATTGAATTGTCTTCTGGTCACGTTTCTGGCAAAAGCAAAAATATTTCAAGGGGTGACTAGACACAAAATGTAAATGTAAGCAATTACTGTTTCTTGTATAAATTCTTGTGTAGTAATTTAAAATAAGAGGGGCAATTTGCTACATCATGATTCCTATGGCATAAAATACGGTTTATTGTTTCAACAACATCCGTCAAAGCACTATATAGCTATATATTTTTTTGAGTTACGTAGTAAGAACAAACGAAAAAAGACCTATGTGGTCAAAAATTTTGCACATCGTGCTGCAAAATTAAGAAAATTAGAAGATAAATTTTAGTACGCATGCTAAATTACCAAAAACTGTGGCTCCGTGAATATGCTATTAGTCAAAATATACAATATTTTATGAGTGGACCTGCGAGCTTCAATAATTAATACTTTGTAAAAGTACCGTAAATTATATTTAAATCAAAACGGAAAAGATAATATAAAAGACGAAATGAAGCATGGGTCTTGCCAAGACCTAGAAAAAATCTTTTAGAGGAAAAAATTATTAAAAACAGACCTGGAAAGAGCCGTCTTTCTTGGTAACGAGGAAACTCGAAAAGGGTGGGCAAACCCCCGAGCGTTTCCATTGCCCTCCAACTGGCCGGATGACGTAGAAAGGGGGGGAAACAACGTCACTGGGCAAGAGCCAATGTAAAGTGACTGACCGTTGGCAGCAAACCTGACTCATTGCAAATGGGGGGTGAAATGTGTTGAAAAAAAGCGGGAAAAGTTCAAAATGGCATCTTGTCATAGTAGTTTGAAGAAAATAGGACTGGGTAAAAGAGAAAATGACTAATTCAAGAAAATATTACCTAAAATGGCCTCTAAAGTAAGCAGAAATAATGAAAAAATAGTAATTTGTTAATTAAAGTTGTAATTCTTCAAGCTAGAGGGCGTTCAAGCTGCCAGAAACGAAAATAGCCCATAAGTTAATAATAGAATAGAATTGGCCAGCAAAGTTTTTTTAAAAACTATTTAAAAATAGTATTAAAAGTATTGTGCCAAATTTTAAGAGGAAAAATAGACGTTGTGACAGGAATTATTTGTACATTTATACATTAGATCTTCAGAATCAGCCATCCACTTTATACCGTCCCAAAGGGCTTTAAGCATAAAATTTCATTAATTAACTCAAAAAAATCTAAAAATTGGTAAGGTTAATGCCAGTTTTTTTAAGGTATTTTTAATTAATTTTTGAGGAATAAGGTTATCTTTCAATATTGTGACGAATTATAGTATTTCTTCTTGAAGGTGTTTTCCTGTATTGCAGATTCTTTTAATTCTAAGCAGCTGTGAGCAAATTGTGTTCAGGATGACTCTTTTAGAAATATTGGAATTCCAGTTGATTAATTTAAGTGTTGAAAAGTTGAATTCTCTTCGTTTGTCATAGACTTTCAAAAAATTGTAATCTATAATATGCAAATCAAGGTAGACTGTATCATGTTGCACGGTATTTGTAGTATT